ATGGTGTTCCGGAGAAGCACTTTCGCCCCTGCTCTCGTTTGGGTTTTCTTTGAAGAACGTAACGTACCAGCTTCGTACTAAGTGTTTGTTTATTGTTTATTGTTTTCTTAGCCCTGGTTTCATCTTACAACCGATAATCTAGTAGCTCTTGATTGGCATGAATAATATTTTGTGATATGGGTGTACAAGGTCTGTGAAATATTTTCCATACATATCAGTCATATGAATATAAACACATACACGCGTGCCAATTTAAACACAAAGACGGACACATTAAAAACAGACGCACACAGACATTTTCGTCCTTGATTGCGTGCTTGTATATGCAAATACAACATGAAACCATTAACAAGAAAAGCCTCACTAAAGGTATGACTCGCCTGGACACAGAAGACATAACAGCTTGCACGCCATCCACGGAAACAAAGGGACTCCTGTCCTAAGGACCATCATGTAGTTTCAGATGAGCAGATTTTAGCACATATTAGGCCTTTCTCTGAAAAAAGTAAGGTGTTCACTTTTGTTGTGGTACTAACTGTAGCAATCACTTATACTATTGTATGTATGCGTGTATATATATATATATATATATATATATATATATATATATATATATATATATATATATATATATATCCCAATGGTGCCGGGGAAAATGAACAAAAAATGGGGAAAATATTGTGCACACTTTCTATGTTTTTCGTGAAATGTCTGCTGATAGATGGCTCTGCTAGCGCCTGATTTAAATGGCGGAAAAAACGTATTTTTCACTAGTGCTATGAAAATCGACGGTGTTATTGTTATCATAAACATTATAATTTTTATAATTTTTTTAAACATTAGTAACAGCAAAATAAGATTACGTAAAATATTTTGTAAATCAAAGAAATGGGTAAACGGGGGAGACGGGCGGTGCTCGTAACTGGCTCCTTGGGGAGTTAGTACAAGTGTTGCCATCTATGCATAAAGACAATCAAACAAGTACTCACTGTGGGCATAGCACGTTCGTACGCGTCATACCCGGCACCAAGGGGATATATATATATATGTACTTATATATATATATATATATATATATATATATATACATATACTTATATATATATATATATATATATATATATATACATATACTTATATATATATATATATATATATATATATATATATACACATATGTATATGTATATATATATATATATACATATATATATATATATATATATATACATATATATATAGTATGAAGAGGTATACTAACACACTCGTGAAGAATTTCATCTTTATTTAGACGTTTCAAAGGTATAACTAGACCTCCATCATCAGTAAACTGTCAACAAGAACCAAATAAAAAAGTCAGTTAGACAATAATTGATACAAAATTGGGTTCAAAAAACACATTATAAATACGTAAGTGGGAAAGAATAAGTACAAAATATACATAGAAATAATGACACACAAAAATGTAAACGATATATAAATAGAATGATATCATATATACAAATGAAAGAAACTATAATAACCAGAAAAGTAAAGAACTAACCAGAGTGTGTGTTGGTGAGGGGGGGAAGGGCTATTGGGTAAACAAGGTTGTTGCGGTAGTTGTATTGTTCAGCTCGGGTTTCATCTTCCGTATGAGTAAAGATTCCGAGATGATAAGGTCTGGGCGGGAGGAATGGCTAGATAAAATAGTGAAATCTGTGTTGGAGAAAGGGTGTGAGTGGAGTTGAGAGTGTTCTCTTATTGCCGAGAAAGATGGTTTGCTCAGCGGAAGGCCAGTCCTGAAGGATTTGCCTTTGTGTTCAAGGATGCGGTGTCGTAACCATCGTGAGGTAGATCCCACGTACCGAGCTTGGCAGCAAGGACAGGTAAATAAGTAAACCACGTTAGAACACAAGTCAGAGTTACATCTCAAAGGTTGTTTTAAAAAATTGGCTATATTGTTAGTGTTAGTGAAGACAAAAGTGAATTTAATTTGGGGGTAATTGTTTAGTAACAGTAATTTTAGTTGCTTCCTGATTTCAAAACTTAAACTACCCATGTATGGTAGTTTAACGTATTTATGATCTTTTTTAACAGTAGGGGCCATGGGTCGGTTTGATAATCTTCTACAAAGAAAGGTTTTGGAAATTTTATCAAATAAAAACAATGGGTACCCATTATTTGCAAAGAATTCTTTCAGAAAGTTCATTTCGTCATGAAAGGTTGACCAGTTGCTACACAGGTTATATGCTCGAGTCATTAGAGTTTTAATGCTGTTAATTTTGTACACGTATGGGATGTAGCTAAGAAAGTGAAGTCCGAGGCCAGTGAAGGTTGGCTTTCGGTAAATACTTGTATGGAAGGTGCCATTGTTGTGGGTAATTAGCGTGTCCAAAAATGGTAATTGGTTGTTTTTCTGCATCTCACAGGTAAACATGATGCTCGGGTGTTTCGAGTTTAGATAGTTTAGAAAAAGGTTTACGTGTGAGGGGTGTTTAAAAAGAAGAAAGGTATCATC